ACAATGAAATAATAACAATTTAACCATCTTACCATCTCTTGTTCTTTTATAGTGCCCTGAAGAAAGAATGTGAAGTTTCTTTTTTGACTCAGTATATTATAAAAGCCTTCAGATTATAAATTGGTATGTTTCATGCTGGTCGTAGAATTATATCGTTTTATGCCCCTGGAAATTAGATTCATTCTCATTCTCAGTTAAAGAAGCCATTTCGTAATTACTGTTATGATGGCGTCCGCCTACAGTCAATAAAATAATCTCGCATTCATTAACGCATCCAAAGTCTTTTAGCAGTACGCTACACTTTACCACAATACTTCTACATTTAGGGTCGGGATAGAACGTGAAGAAAATAACCTTTGTGAAAAACAAATATTTGAAAACAACTGTTTATGAGGATGTTCATATTCCCGCTATGAAGTACAGATCAGAGAATGACCGTGATGGTCTGTGTTGTATAATTGTATAAATACCTCTACCAGTAACCTTTCCCCAAAAATATAAGATTCATGGTCGTGACATTCAGTTTAATTTAAAGATTATAACTATATTGTCCTATTTAGGGCACACTATGATAACGATAAGGTGTCAGGCTAAAATGACATATCGTACTCTCTGTGTTATCATGAATATGATCTCTTAGTGATTGTTAGGTATTTGTGCCACATCATATCAATCTGTATGTAGCTCTGATTTTACATCGTGTTATGATGCTGATGCATAGAATATTTTGCCGCCATCTTTGTAATGATAAGAACTTTTTGTGCATCCACCAAGTATGTAATATTGTTACGTGTTGAAACTAAAAATGCTAACCTTAAATGCTGGTCTTCTGGCAAATTGAGATGAAATGTGAAATAAGACCTGAGAGTTAGCTCCCCTAATATACCTAACAAAATCTTCCAGATCATACTATAATGTTCACAAACCCAGAGAACTGCTCTGGTACATGACAAAACTTTGTCTAAATATAGCACAAGCCTAAATATAGGGCACATCTCTCCCTCTCCCCTTACATTGATCCATAGGAAAGCATAGTTAATTGTTGTATATCCTTTTGTTTCGGTCCAAAGTAATAGTAAGGCTTGTGTCGTTTAACGGCATTTAAGTTGTCATTGTGTGTTATTATAATGCCTGAATAGGCACACATGGTGGATACCCGTGAAGGTCCGGGGTAGAATATCGATTTTCAGTAACCCAGTAAGAGGCAACTAACGGGATCGGGTGGTCAGACTCGCTGACTTGGTTGACACATGTCATCGGTTCCCAATTGCGCAGATCAATGCTCATGCTGTTGATCACTGGATTGTCTGGTCCAGACTCGAATATTTACAGACCGCCGCCATATAGCTGGCATATTGCTGAGTGCGGCGTAAAACTAAACTCACTCACACATGGTGGACGTTTACATCTTTGGTGAAGCATCAAACCCACGATAAGCCTACCACTTACCCCGCTCTTACATTATACTGTCCTTGAGCAGATTGCCATTCATGGTTTCATCGCTACTACCGTTCCGGCAACACATTTTGATTGTATTTGCTATATGCTGCTCTTTGATCATTTATACAATACGATCCCTGCGCATCGAGTGAGTTGGTATCATCCTAGCTGTATTTCAGAACATGCACGAACGCTTCGGAATATCTAAAATTATCACTCCGTCATGAGAATGAATTGTAAAAATGTTTCTGTCAAACTGCAGACTGATTGTCACCAGTTTCCTGTTTGATTCCACACCTCGTAGACGCTCCAAGCGTTCTATATTTACAACGCTATCTTGGTGTGATTGGTTATCTTTGATTTTTGGCAATACTGATCTTCCATATCCAATACGTGAACATCTAACAGTGATCCAACCACGAGCTCTTTGTTGTTGAGGGTTTCATCTCTCATACTCCTCAGTCAGGTAATGAAAACTGCCTTCATCATCATCACAACTTGTAACCTTTCTAACTTGATCAAGTTTGCATTTGCCCGTGTGTGTTTTCATTCCATTGACAACACCATGCAGCGATTACTGTTCAGTTGAAAGACAAATATGCATTTTATAATTGCCCATTTCTGTAATTAACTGTTGTCATATACATATTGAAACGCATCAGTATTACACATCTCTTCATACGTGTGTAATGGTGCCGACAACTTTGCTGAAGTGCCGTTCCAGTATGTTCTAATCATTACTTGTCTCGTCACAGCTACAATACATCCTCACATACATGTAAACTACAACCAACGCCTGTATTAGACACGAAGTACCACACCTAAACATAGATGTGTCTTAATGGAAACATAGTCAATTTCCATCACAAAATCCTGCAACAGACAATGGATAGATGATGATTTCGTTAGTTACGGTTTCCCGTGCTTGATCGAATTGCTACACGTCCATTATACAGAGTCTTACAAAATTGTCATTGCATTCTCGAGCACTTAATAAAATTACTTTGCGTGATTTTCGGATCATTTTCTGTGGGTTTTTATCATCAGTCGGTTTAACTATTTGAGTGTTTTGTGGCCACGTGTCATGGAGATCTTCATGTAAAACATAAAAGAAACTTTTCTTACTCAGACTGTGCCATATTCAAATATGAGGCTCTAATTTCATTTCGTGCGTTAAATGCAATCGTATGTGTTGAAGTAATATATTGCCACAAACAATAATATCAACTGAATTATCCTTGTGTCCGTTCAATGATTTAGTTGACTTGGCAAAATTTAAGAGGATACATCAGGTAATCTTTCAAAGTATTAATACGTTTTACAAACAAAATTAGTTTATTACCATTTGGACCGCCTCCGTAGTGTAGTGGTTAGAGTGTCCGCCCGGAGAGCGGAAGGTTGCGGGTTCGATCCCCGGCCTTGTCATACCAAAAGACGTTAAACATATGGTACTTGCGTTGGTGGTCCCTGCCTGGAGCTCGGCATTAATGTGTACAAAAAGGTCGGCTCGGAGTCAGTATAATGTGTCTGAGTTGGGTATTCATGTGTAACTGCGGCATGGTATCTCAGTGAGCTAGCCCTATAAAACCAGGCCAGTACAAGAAGCCACGCATACACAACCATGCACGTCGTCATATGAGCGAAATATTATTACATACGACGTTAAACTCCATATCACCTCACCTCATTACCATATATTGTGTTTTCTTATTCCATAATAAACAGTGAGGTTGCAAAGAGGAAGGAAGTTACAATGTCGAACATAGATATATTATCTGCTCTTAGAAGGTAGAACATATCAAATTTAACACATGGAATGAAATATGATCATGGAATGACATTTAGTGTGTGATAGAGGAGATCGATATTTCCAGTGTTACTGTTTTGTACTCTAAGGCAATATGCGACTTTCATGAGGAGGACTTGTATGTGATAGTTTTGTAAAATATCATTTGTAATGTATTGTATTATTGTAATAATGAATCCTCTCTCTTCGTCAAAGTTCAAATCCGCCCCCACACACACACACACACCCCACACACACCCACACCCACACCCTGATATTGCTGGTATATTTGCTAAAAGCGGCGGAATTACACTCACTCTTCTACATTTGGGAAGTATTTTAGAGAAAGAGTCACAATCCTAGCTATAACTATCTGTAGGCGGCCTAATATATTTCTTGTTTTCCGTGGGAATACTGTGAGGGTCTTTCCCGCAATCTCTACCTTTGGAAACAAGCATTTTGGGTATGTTTAGTTCATTTCGAAAAGTTGAAAACGCGAGATCACGAGGATGTCCCTGAGAGTATTCCACACATAATACAATACTGAAAACTTGAACTTCAGGTGCCCCATGCATGCCAGAGAAGAAGCTAGGACTGACTGACTGAGTTTGGTTTTACGCCGCTTTTAGCAATATTCCAGCAACATCACGGCGGGGGACACCAGAAATGGGCTTCACACATTGTACCCATGTGGGGATTCGAACCCGGGTCTTCGGCGTGACGAGCCAACGCTTTAACCATTAGGCTACCCTACCGTCCCGAAGAAGCTAGGAGGAATTACAGATTGTCTTCCCCCAGGGAATTATGCCATAGATCAATAACATAAATTCCGAAATGAAAACCAACTGTCTTAATTTTAAATTGGTTATTCTTCTTCTTACCCATAATCTTCTTGATACATCCTTTAACCACTTTCGAAATGTACAGCGGTGTTAAACACGAAACAAACAGGAAACGAAGGAACAGTAAGCCTGAGTCATTTCTATGCTACACAGGATTGTGTTCGTTATGTAATGACTTATGAGAGTAGAGCACATAAAGGAAGTGTTTAATATATTAGCTTCAACACATGTAAGTTAACCATTTTATAAGTCTATTGTGATGAATGCGAGCATGGTAGTTGAAGTTTCTCAGACGTAACAGCTCCTCAGTAAAACAGTTTTAAAGTTTTCGAACATGAACATGCTTGTGCCAAAGAGGCATGTAGCCACTACATATTGGATGGGTTCATACTCGGTAAGTTGTAGTGATCAGAAAGCAGAGTTGTGCGACATATCATTCCATATCAGTACATTTAATAACTTCCATCTTCCCCGGTAGTGAGTGAGTTTGGTTTTAGCCCGCTTTTAGCAACATTCCAGCAATATCACGGCGGGGGACACCAGGAATGGTATTCACACATTGTACCCATGTGAGAATCGAACCCGGGCCTTCGGCGTGACGAGCGAAAGCTTTAACCACTAGGCTACCCAGCTACCCCTCTTCCCGTATAAGTCAGATAAAAGCTTATTGTCTGTGTGAGAGTGTGCGCCTTTCTTTCTGAGTAATGATTCAATTTTCTATTTTAGTATATATGTAAAACGAATTCTGAGCATGACTGAGAACTCTGTACGGTGTTTATGTCACCTGCAACATACGGTATAAGTCAAACTTGAGAATTGCATCAAATATCATTATTGTCACATATGCATCAAGGTTGAAAACGCCCTCCTTTTGTCTACACTAACTTTGTGAAAGCTCAACTGAGCCCACTAACGTTCTACCTTGATCGAACATTTACTGAGCAAAAGTCTTATGAAGCTCTTTGGAATATTAATAAAGTGCATGCTCTATTGTACCTCAACGATGTGAACACCAAGGACTGGAGGTGTTGGAATATTGCTCTACATAAAGGGTAAGCTGAATATAGGAACGTTGAAGTCATCCTTCTTGTCACACAGCCGTGTGGAGAGTTTTTTGTGACTAAGAATCGTTATGCATTCAACGCTATATAAAACGCATGAGGAGGTCTCATCGTCACCTATCATGGCGCAATGCATGGAAATTATTATATCGTTCTGCCCAGTTAGAGTATGTTTTGCCTGGGAATACAGAATCCCTGGTAATAATTTGGGGACAAAGAAATGTTTTTTGCTTGTTTGCGTGTAGTTTAACGCTGCACTGAACTACAAAAATGTCAACGTAAAGGTTAAGAAGGTTATTTTCTACAACGGCACCCTCAGCTACTTTCGCGCGCGATATTTTGATAAGCATGAAGCTGTGTGATTCAATGGTAAGTGTCAGTCTGTGACAATCTGTGACACTTACGTTGCTTGTGTTTCTGCATTTCTTCGGAGTGCCTTTAGCAAAACATTCCAGATTTACACTGACAGTATGATATTTAACTAAGTACATAAAGACAAAGGTCGATATCAGGGGTGATTTCCCTGTTCAAGTACCATGTTCCTTCCTATCAACGTCAATATCTGATCATTACGTCACCGGCGAGCATTCAGTGATAAGATGATCCCTCTCCTGTGAAGACACGTGTGAGGTCTTGGCCTCGGAACACAATTTTCTCCTTATTCTACGTTCCCAAACCACGGCAGCTGTAGTAATTGTCGTTAAACCAGCTATTAAGATTTGGGGCATGTTTCTCCCAAAGTGAGTATTAAGCAAACATTGTAGGAGGGCATCAGCATTCGGTGCCTGCTTCTATCAGAAATTGAATCGCCATGCAGATGTACAAGTAAGCCAAATGCTCTCACGAGGTAATTGATAAACATCAGTCTGCCATAACATCTACGGCAACATATATGGCGTCTGTAACGTTTGAGGAGAGTTTGAATTAGGTTTGATGTGGCGTTAAAGATTGCTGTACACACGTAGTGTCTAATGCCGGTGACCCGTGAAGATCCGGGGTAGAATAGGTCTTCAGCAACCCATGTTCTTGCCATAAAAGGCGACTATGCTTGTCGTAAGAGGGATCGGGTGGTCAGTTTCGCTGACTTGGTTGACACATGTCATCGGTTCCCAGTTGCGCAGATCGATGCTCATGCTGTTGATCACTGGATTGTCTGGTCTAGACTCGATTATTTACAGTCCGCCGCCATATTGCTGGGATATTGCTGAATGCGGCGTAAAACTAAACTCACTCACTCACTCTAATGCCGGTTTTACAGTGCCAGCTCACTGAGATTCCATGCCATGGTTGATATCCCACTCAAACATTGTATGCTGACTCCGACCAATACTTTTTGCATCCCTTGATTCCGAGCGAAAGTGTAACCTACGTGATCGGACAACTGGTGATGACAAACCTAATATGGTTCATCGACTGATACTCAGTTGGAGAAACCCTAGATCACGGTTCTGGTACCAGTCATAAGGTCGCGGTACTTGGGCATACCCGTGGTCCCTAGTATGGTGATCTACCTTCAGTTGTTGGCAATATATAGCCTGTTTTTACATTATCTTGACATTTCTAGTTAAAATGTTTTACATTTAATAACTAGTTTTAAATGGATATATTTCATACACTAGTAGTTTTACTTCGTCAACAGGCTTATATTTTATAATTTTATTGATCTATAATATAACTATTAATTGTTCTCGTCACGATTTGGCTGAAATATTGCCGATGTGGCGATAAATATTAACTCACTCACCCACTTGGGTATAATTTTGACCAACAAGGTCCTTGAACCATCTGTACACAACATTTGTTTCTGAGGTGTATGTGTTGTATGATAATGACGCTAGGTAATATCCAAGCTATATGGAGAAGTGTGTATGTGTGTGTGTGTGGGTGGGGGGGATGTCTGTAAATAATCGAGTTTGGACCAGACGATCCTGTGACCACATCATAATAAGCATCGATCACAGTTGGGATACGATTATACATGTGTCAAAACGACAAGCATGGTTTGCTGAAGACTAATTATAACCCGGATCTTAACGGGTTTAATGATTTATTATCTTCTGCTTGTTGACAGGCGTATTGCCTTAGAACTGGTTAATTTCTACAGTCCTGTGAATTTCCTAGTGGTACAGATGGCTGGAGGTAAACTTCTCTCCTATTGTGTCATGGGATGCATTAATCACCCATTATATATCTGGTGTCGAGTATCGCTTTTAATGTTTGTCGTGTGACGTGTATAGTTTAGTTTCTGTTTAGATGTGAATGTTGGGTTACGCTGCAAACATCTCGTATCATCACGGATTGATTGTGATCCCTTCATATAAATCTGACTGTATATTTAATCTGTTTCGTCAGATAATCGCGACTACTCATGACTACTCTCTGGCGTGTAAACATGGTGTCGCTATTTACCAAGCTTCTTTGTAATACGGCCTAGTCACACGTGTCCCATCTAGGCACTCCAATTCTTTATTCCTATCACTCACGGATGCATGGCATAAGTTTTGTTATTGACAACTGTCACAAGCTGATTGACTTGACCCACCCGTAGGATGCTGTATGCGATGTGTCCACATGACAGACAGAATGGTGTACTGATTGACTGGCATCACACTCAGCTCTCGAAACAGCCCAAATGCTCCTCTAGTTATGCTTTGTGAGTGAGTGAGTGAGTTAAATATGAAGAGCTCTGTCATGGAATCATAGTCAAACGTGACGTCAATCATTATTCGGTTTTGGTCGTTCATCATGTAAGTAAATGCCGTTTTCTGTATCTTCAGTCAAAATTATCTTTACGAATGTCTGTTTCCCATTATCATTTTTCTGCGGGCTTGGGAGATACTTCTGTCACGGAGATCTTACTACTGGTCCTGACGCTAGCTGCATCATCATCGTCAAAATGTACTCAAGCAAGTAACGTAGACTCGTATTGTGAAGTAACTGATTATCTACAAGTATTATTTTCTTGCTTATTGTTGACGTTGTTTGATAAGTATATATGCGAGAGTATTTGTGGTGATTTTATTGGTCATTTAGTTAAGTAAAGGCTAATATATAAAAGGTCCATTATATTCCTCAGAAATCACTGCGTGATTCAGACCAAATCATATGAGTGAGTGAGTGAGTTAAGATTTAAAATCACATCGGCAATATTTCAGCCATATCGTGACTAAAAACAAGTAATATTTTTAGAATACATAAAAGTAAATAAAAAAATACTGTCAGCGAAGGACAGTAAAGTAACTAGAATATCACAGTTATAGATATAAAACTAGTATGTAAGTCTAAAACAGCTTAATTACATAAGACAATACAATATAAAAACAGGCTATATATTGCCAACAACTGAAGGTAGATCACCATACTAGGGACTATGGGGACTTTAGTACATTTGCTTCCTGCATGGGCCCCAGCTGGATTTACACCATCCCTTCTGCTATTAGCAATTTTAGACACTCTAGCCATAAATTAAATTGAGATATATACTGCGGTTAAAAAGTAGTAAGTTTAAATTGACTTTGAAGTTTTGGGACGTACGTATACCCTCAGGAGGACAATAACTTTACAGTACATTAACCCCCTTTGCGGATACAGCCACTACCAATCTCACTTGATAATCTAAATTACCAATTATAAAAACCTTTATCTATTTACAAAACATATGTCAAAATTTATTACTATTATCCTTTGTGATTGAAAAATCAATACAGTCAAGCAGGACATGCTTGACCGTGATTCTCTCATCACAATGGATGCAAAACGGAGGATCCTCACCTTTTGTATTCATGTGTGTGTCGCGCGTATGGCCATTGGCATCGTCGCATAAGGACCTCCTCAAATCTGGACTGACAACCCAAGTAGGTGTAACTGATAGTTGGTTTAATTTGATGTAATTTATTGATACTTACGTGGTTGTCCCACTTCTTTTGCTTTAGATCACGGATGTACGATCTAATCAGAGCTTTGTAATCAGAGTATGGAATAAGAAGTGGTGTCACAGATTTGTTGAGTGCTGCCTTAGCAGCAAAATCGGCCATTGCGTTACCAGAAATTCCAACGTGGCTTGGTAACTAACAGAGGACGATGTCGTATTGGCCAGTAGCAAGATCATTATATAATTCAATAGTTTCTATTAAAAGTGGATGTTTACAAGATAAGTTTTGTATAGCCTGAATCATAAAGGAGAGTCAGAAAAGATTATATTTTGTTTATATTTAGTTTTTTTTTATACATTTAAGAGCTGTTAATATGGCGTTTGCTTCTGCTGTAAAAATAGAGCTGTTATCCGGTATTCTGGAAGATATTGTTCTGGATCCAGCGACAGTGGCACAAGCAACTGCGCCACCATCTTTAGACCCATCTGTAAATAAGGATTTGTATGTATTGTATTTATTCTTTAATTGATTTCAGTTCTTGTTTATATTGTATTTCATTGGTTTCTGATTTTTAAAATGTGGTTAATGTAAGGTCCACTTGTGGCCTACCCGATTGCCAAGGGGGAGAAGAAAGAAGACGGGAAGGAGACATATTTTCCAGCTCAATGCCGGCAACAGAAATGAATGGTATAATGCTTAGCCCAAGAGGCGGAACAAGAGAAGATTTCTTGTTGTATAAATCCTCATAGAGGGTAGTGAGGAGACAGTAATATGCAGGGTTCGATTCGTTGGAATAAAGTTTTGTATTATGTTGTAAAGATAATTTTATACGGCGTTGTTTGAGAGATCGCTCATCTGCCTCGACGTAGAGACTGTCAACAGGAGAAATTCTAAAGGATCCAAGACAAAGTCTTAGACCTTGGTGATGGACAGAATTAGAAAAGACTTTCAACAAGTCAAGTGCCTTCATGCATTTAGTTTTTAGGTATTTGATATGCGGAAGAAAATTTAAATG